GCGTATGGTTGGCCGGCGCCGGCCAATGTCGCTGCCACCGGAGCTGCACATCCTCGACAGCGATTGGTTAATTGGTTTGATTTAGCTTGAGTCGACTTTTCTCGGAATCGGCGCACCTAGGAGGCTCGTTACGCGGACGGCGCTGCATGGAACGCGCCTCGTAACGTCCCTCGTAGTGCCTCTACCGCTACTCCCTCCTCGACCGTCCTTGTCCACGCTTGTTGTCGCTCCGACCCCACTCCGACCCCGCGCTCCGTCCTCGCTCCGCGGCACCTGGCGCGCAATTAGCTCTCGCGCTCTGTCCCCGCGTCCGTCGACCTCGGCACCCTCTTCCGCGAGGAGAAAGTCCAAAGTGTCGTCGCAGCCACTGCCGCTGCCATTATCGCCGTTTAATTCCCGAATCCTTTGATTTGCCGCCCTCGTGTCCGCCGTTGTCCCCAAGGGATGGCTTTTCGTGGTGGGGCTGCTTGCCCCACGACTTCTTCCTCGGCCGCCCCTTACGATTAAACGATAGGAGAGACATGGGTGACAAAAGGTGGCGCCGTAACCTTCGGGGCTTCTGCACCGACTTTATGCAGACTGTACATATATATAGTCTTTAAGGAGATCCTCCCGACTAACGGATTAGTTATGTTGGGGGGGGGGGGGGGAAAAAAAAAAAAAAAAAAAAAAAAAAAATAAAAAGCGACTGAAAGGTAAATTAAACGGGAGTTTACAGTAAAGTATATTTATGGCGTGATTTATTCACTATAAAGAAATATTTTATTCGCCTCTATTCAATGTAGAGGGATTAATGGTCGAGAAATCGAACTATTTATAAGTATGCACTTTTTATATTATTGAATTATTTATTCGCTGCTCGTAGGTACATCGTTATTGCATTCTCGCTTTATTAATTTGCTGCACTTTAATATAGAACATTATTATTTATTTGTTAGTAATCTTATTAGCGCCATTTGCAATTTCTTCATTAATACGTATTTTGCCATGTTACATTTGTTAAGCCGATGGATGCCGATGTTTATGTAAAATTACCGATTTTTGCGAACCTTTGTAAATTTAGATTGCTTCCAATAATTATCTAAGCAAATAGTTGCCAAGGCTTTTTGTTATTCGCCATTTCCAATGTATTAAGCGACAATTGCGCACGTGTAATGGAATCAATGATTGTTAGAATAATGGTTATAAGCTAACAAAAATAGATAAACGTAATAGTGGCTAACCGATTAATTTCCGATTTATTGCCGAATGATTTTTCTCAATGTAATGCACATTAGGCCAAAATTATAGAATAATAGAAATCATTACATTAACGCCGTTAAAGGCCCGCATACACCCAATGAACTTCAATCCAATCGAGTTTATCTATTTCACGCTACTAATTCCAATGGTCGAGAGAAAAGCATATATTATTTATTCGAAATTTTTTAATAATAATAATGAATTCGCCTATCTTCCTTAACGTTTTGTTAATTAGAAAATTCGTGGTTTCTAGCTTAATTATAACGA